AATGAAGGATTTATTATTCTAAAGTTGTTTATAATGTGACTTAATTAAATCTAGACATTATTCAATCATTTTGTAAACATTTTTTTTAATGTCTACAATAATATTAATGGATAAAAAAACAAACATTTTTTTTGGCACAATTTTATTTTTTTTTTTCTTTAAGTATGTGTCAGAAAATTTGTCCCCATTTTATTTTATTTGTTTGACTTTGTCTTTTTTTGTGAAATTACAAATATGTGTATATAGATAAATTCTTATAGTAGTAGTAGTAGTAGTATAAAAAATAAAATGTTTAAACAATGCTAATTTATTAATATTATTATTGAAAAATATCATGGGTATTAACCCTTAAAGTGCACAATTGGTAAAAATTACGTTTAAGTGTACTGTAAGTGTTTGACACCCCAATGTGTTTGAACGTGTCTCCTGAAGTCGCTATTTAATATATTTAAACCTCGCAATTTTGTTCAAAGTACTTTGATACATCTTTTTCAAAATAGAATAGGTTTTATATATCCATTTGAATTAACACTAGATCTGAATTAACGACAAGTAACCCATTTTTTCGAATTCAGTATCGTCTTCGAGAGATCAACAATTTGTTGGGGTATCAAACACCAAATTGTGCACTTTAAGGATTAATGTAATAGTATATTATACTACAATTATATATTTCAATATAAAAAAATATGCGTCTATTATATTTAAAAAGTTTGATAATAAAAAAAATAGTAATTATATGAATACTTTGGTATTATCTATATACAATATTTACAATTCATGTGTATATTCTTCTTCTTCTTCTTCTTCTTCTTCTTCTTATTTTAATTAAGTGAATTATAATTAGCACAAGAGAAAAAAAAAATTGGAGTAAATTAATAATACTTACTAAAAAATTGTTCAGTTTTAAAAAGATTATTGAAAAATCCATTGGTTTTACAAATATTTCATTATGTACATTACCCAAAAAACTTACTTTCTTCTACTTCTTAAACTACGAGTTGGTACGGATGGAGTAGATTTCTACAAAAAAACAAAAAAAAAGACAACAAAAAATAACAAAATTAAATCACTTAATAATCACTCAAAACTATTACTCACAATTTCCAAAGGTTCAATATCTTGCATTGATTCGTCATTCATTACGAACAATTTCTTTTTACGTGTGGCACGTTTCCTTTCAGGCTTCTCACTACTCGGTGGTTCAGGTTTTGCATAATGTTTACTACAAAAAACAAAAAAAAAAGAAAATGTTAATAATAATTTACAAATGTGTATCATATCATTTGACATTGACACAATGTGTCGTCATTAAAATAATCAACACTCACCCAGATTCTGAACCAGATAAATCAATCACTTCGGATTGAGCTGTTACCGGAGTTTCTTTTCGTAAATTTTCATTCATCGGAGGTCTACCTCTCCTTTTTGTAGAATATTCAACTGTCATTGTTTCACTTTCCGCATTGCTTTCTTCATTAGCTTTTGATTTTTTCGATTCACTATTATTTTGTACCTACATAGAAAATGGAGATTAATTATAGTAACAATTGTTTCTTTGTTTCGTGAAAAACATCATATATTATACAACAAATAATAATAATACGAACCATTTTTTGTAATGAATCAATACGAGTTTGTAATTTTTTAATTTCATCCTTACTCGATGTTGGAGTTGTTTGTCTAAATAACATCTTTTGAAATGTCGCAATCTGTAAATGATACATTGATTAGTAAAAAATACTATTATAACAAATTAATTTCAAAATATATATAAAAAAAAAAAGAAAAAAAGGAAAAAATACAACTTCGCGTTTATGTTTTTCCATTTCATCTTGTAACGATTTAACCATATCCTCATATTTCTCCACAGTTTCATCCCTGTTCTTTTGAAATTCTCTCATTTCATATTCCTTATTTGCCAAATCTCGTCTGAACATATCATTATATTTTTGCAATTGATTTATTTCGGTATATTGTTCGTCTCTTTCCTTTTTAACACTTTCTAATACTTTCATGACTTTTTCTAAAGAACCCATACGTGATTCTAAAATATTCAAATCCCTTTGTTTACAGGACAATTCTAATTTGGTATCATCCAAAATTTTCAATGTACTCTTCAATTCTTTTTCCATTGATTTTTCTTCGTCATCTTTTAATTGTATCACTCGTTTCAATTCTGTTAAAAATACGTTTATATAATTATATATATTTAAAAAATAATAATAATATAATATATAATATATATATTTTTCATTTTTAACACAATTTGAATGTCGTGTCTAACCAAAAAATAAAAAAATCAATTAACTCCACATTCATGGGAGAATGTTTATTCAAAAATATAAATAATTGCAATTTTCCGATGTATACATTGAGAATACAATATTTAGAAAACATATGCAAATACTAGACTAACAACATTTTATTTAAAAAAAAAAGAAAACATTATTACACAATTTATTATTATTAACAAAAAATATACTTTATATTTAAGATACATATTTCAAAATGTTTGTTTTTTTTTTTTAATAACATCAACAAAATCACAAACCTTTTTGAATAGCTAATATTTCATCATCCTTCTCTTTTTCTTTTTTATTCGACTCAACTAACTTTTTTTGCAAAATTTCCTGTTGTTTCACATTTTCTTCTACCAATGCCTCAAGTGCTGTTTTTTCCTTTTGCTTTGCACTTAAATCAATATCCATTTTAGAAATCTTCTCTTGCAATTCTTCTATAACTAGAAGATCGTTTCCTAATTTCTTTAAAAAGATAAATAATAACGAATGATAAATTGTTTTTTTTTTTTTTTTTAAATGAAAGATAAAAATATCACACATTTACGTTAATATTTACAACAGATGTACCTCTTTGTATTCAGTTTCTATTTCGTTAAATTTCATTTGTAATTCTTTATATTCCTTTTCCCTTGTTTCATAATTCACATCATCAATTGTTTGAATGGATATATTTTTCACATCATTTTCTAAAATACTAGTTTGTAAAATGACTTCTTGTGTGAGTAATGTAATAGTTTGACAACTTTTATCTTCCTTCGATGTTGATTCTTCTTCATCACAATTCGACGATGTTAATTTTTCTTCGGATTCTGTAAGATTCATTTTATATTCAGATATTTGTATTTTAAAAGCTAAATTATATATATATATTTTATAATCAAATAATCTCACATACCAATTATTATTTTTTCTTCAAATATTTCTTCATTTGTATCCAAATTAGTCAATTTATCTTTCGATTGTATTACATCTTCCTCACACAATTCTGTTTTTACAATTACATCCGCAGAAAAATTGCTTCTTTTATTTTCCTCTGACTGATTTAAAGTCTTCACAAAAGAAAAGATATAGAAAATATGAAAATAATTGTGATAAAACATTTCAAAAGTTCTTATAAATTAAAAAGAAATATATTTAAGTGGTTGTTCACAAAGTCGTTTCGTTTTTTTTTTGCTGAAGCAATAAATGGCATTAATTGATGCAAATCGACAAATAATAACACATGAGATCAATGACAAATTAAATTGATCAAATTCAACTTATTTATGATCACTTGAAAGCTTTAAGTTTAATCATCATTTTTACAAAAGAAAAATGAAAAACGACTTTCCGAACCAGCCCTAATATATAAACGACATACTTCCAATTTGCAAGAAATATCTTCATTGTTTTCAACGTTCATCAATTCCAACATATTTTCCAATTCAATTATTCTATCAGCCATCGTTTGATTATTCTCTTCTAATTTTTCAATCGTTTTAGCTTGTTCTGATAGACAATAATTAGTACGATCAATTTGTTCTTGCATATCGTCCATCTTATCTTCATATTCTATTATTATTTCTTCTTGTTCTTTAATTTGATTTTCTTTCTCTCGAGCATCATTTGTAATAACAATATATTCCTCTTTTGCTTCGTTCAAAAATTCTTTAAGTTTCTAAAATATTATAAATCAATCAATCAATCGATGTAATTACTTTTTTTTTTTTTTTTTTNTCTTGTTCTTTAATTTGATTTTCTTTCTCTCGAGCATCATTTGTAATAACAATATATTCCTCTTTTGCTTCGTTCAAAAATTCTTTAAGTTTCTAAAATATTATAAATCAATCAATCAATCGATGTAATTACTTTTTTTTTTTTTTTTTTTAATTATGACTACTACAAAATGTTACAGTCAAAATAATTACCTTAACATGATTTTCTTTAGCAGACAATTGTAATTTAATCTCTTCTATAAAATGTTCTGTCTCTTCATCGTTACATAAATCTTTTTGAGCAGCATCCAATAAAGATTTGGTATATTTTAATTCTTCCTTAGCTAAGCTCAATTCAAATTCAACTTTATGTTTGTCTACGTTCAAATTTTGATTATGTTTTTTCAATTCTTGAATAGTATTTTGCATAGATCCTAATTTAGTATTTAAACGAGATATTTCACATTCCAATTCTTTAATATCTTTCGAATTTCTATTAATATCATCATCATTATCATCATCATCATCATCATCATATTCCACAGATCGTGCCCTTTTTCGACTATTCAACTTAATCTTTTGTTTATAAAATTCTTCAACTTGTTTAATTGACCACTGCAATGTATCTTCTTGTTGTTCTTCAACATCTCTTATACGAGCCCTATAAATTATTATAAATATATTAAAATTGTCAGCAAGTTGTTGACCCGCTCAACAACTATGAATACATACTTCCAATCGTTTTCAAGTTTCTTTATGATGGCAGTATAAGTGTCCACCATTTCCTGTCGAATTTCAAAGTCACGAGTTAATGCCATATTTTTTAAATTCGTAATCTCCTTTCTTAATTGTTGATTTGTTAATAATAAATTTTCATATTCCTCAGAAGAAATAAACTTAATGTCATCCGTCTCTATCTCAGTATCTGCATCTGCATTTAACCAATCTATTAAAAATCAAATGGTATCTATCCAACATAAACAAATGATTTAGTTAAAAATAATACATATTATATTGTTACCTGTACTTTCCAAAGTTACAGCGTCCCAATTAGTTACAGTTCGTATACTTTTATGAACCAATTTAGAAAATCTTGAATGAACCTTTCTTTTTTCTTTGACTTTAGGTTCTATGACAATTTTCTTAGCAATTGCTGCAAAATTCAATACATTTTGCGTCTCTACATAAAGATTTGGCAAAGGATTGACATTAACAATTAATGCAATATGTTCTCTCCCTGATAATGCTCTTTGATATAATCTTGTTAACTTGGATTCCCTGAATGGTCCAATGACAGGTTCACTTTTTAATTTTGATAATTGAGAATCGTAAATTGACTTTAAACATTTCCCAAAGACCAACAGACTTGTATTAATATTTTGAGCTTCTTTTAATCTATCACCAATATTCAATGTCTTTTTCAAACGTTCAGAACCAGCCAAATCACAAAAGGAAAATCTGTTTGAGAAAGAAAGAAAAAAAAAAGAAAAATAAGAAAAACCTTCATGACGAATAATTTCATATTCAAATTCAATCAAGTATAAAATGTTAAAATACATACGTGCTTAAACCTACTGAATCAGATAGATTGTCAGAATAATACTTTAATAATTTGATAGTAAATATGCAATGAGATCTAGAGCTTCTTGCATTTAAAGCTGTTGCAGCAACTTTTAAATTATATTGGCCAGCCATTAAAACTTGATAGGCTTCAGCACCAGAATTAACATAAACAGAATTTAAACCTTTGATGAATGCTCTACCATGATTATCAGTTGCCAATTTTAATGGTACTTTCTTTTTTTGACAATCAACAGTTAAAAGATCATATATAGTTTCATTATATATCTCAGCAAAAGATACCCATACTGAATAATGAGCATCTGTGCATTCGCTAGTTCTCAATGGTGATTCTTCTTGTAATATCTTTTGCATTTGTTTATAAGTATTAATATATTGATTTTTATCTACCGAACTGAAACTTAACAATTTAGTTTTAGCTTCTAATTCTTGAGCTCGTTCAAGAGAATTAAGAAATATTGCATCGCTATGGTATACAGGTTTAAAAGAAGGTATAGATTTTGGTGTAATAATAGAAAATACAAATTCTAAGGCACGTGGTATGATCCCAGGTGATGTGATTGATCCTTGCAATGTATGTGACTTTCCAGAATTAGTTGTACCTATAGAAACATGATTTTGTTGTTAAGATAAAATATTTTGTACAAAAATGCAAATAAGAATTTGAAATATTTATGGCTTACCATAAGTCATCACATTGCAGCTTTGTCCCGCTAAGAAATCTATCATTTGTTGTTTAATCACTTGATCAAATAATTGTAATTGCGTTGTTTCTGGTCCAAATGTTTGAGTAAATGTATAAGTTCTACATGCTATATCACTATTTTTAGCTCTTGCAAAACTACTGTTACTTTCTAAATAAGGCAACTTAGTTACCAAAGTAGTTGAATTAATTATTTTATAAGCGTCTTCTTGTTCGGGTAATAATTTAATTTTTCTTGGAAATGGCTTTAAACGTAAATAAACTTTAAGTGTTTTTAAAGCCTGCAAATCAGGAATTGAGGATTGTGTGTTTTCTGCTGAACTTGATTCTTCTATTTCATATTCAGAAAATAAATTTTTCTTTGTCTCTTGAGATGGACATGGTCTCTGTCCGTATGCTAAAATACTAGGATCTCTACCAAATAAATACGACATTTCTTCACGTGTATGATTTTTGTCAGATAGTCCTATTGTATCTAATGCACTATTCATCTACACAAATAAAAATATATATATATATATATATATATATATATATATATATCATGTTTTTATTAAACATTTATATCATATGCTTTAATTCCCCCCAAAATATATATATATAGGATATAAAATTAATTTAATGAATGAAAAGGCCATTAATATGTTTGAAATAAAATAAAAATATAGAAATGGAAACACAAAGAATCAATATCATTTCCTAATACAAATTGTAAGCACACAAAATTCAAATTATTTGTGTTATTAACTAAACAATTACCTTTGTTAAATATAATATTTACTTCTATATCATATCTATCTTTTTTTCACTAAATAAGAATTATTGCTTATTGTTAGAAATCTACGAAGCAAATTCATGCGAGTTTTAAGCGGGTAAACAGTCTTGATATTTCTTCTCTCTTCGTAAAACGTCTTTTAACTGTAGCATCAAACGGTTTTTGCTTTATTTCAAACATCCCACAACAATAATACAATTCATTCTGATTGGTAGAAAAATCGTGTAGCTCCCTCTAGTATTACTTCGTTTGTTTCTATTTATTCGACCAATCATTTCTTTGGAATGAATACATACAAAAGTGAGAACCAATCAGAAAGCCGAAAATATGCAAGGATCGTAATACAACTACCAATCACTTTTCTTTGATTTATTATTTCTGTTTCTTATAAGATAAATATAAATATAAATTGCAAATTAAAAAAAAAAGTTTAACAATTGTTTCTTTTACTGCAGTTGTTTTTAAAAAAATAATATGTTAAATAATAATTCATGATATATCTTCAAAAATAAGTAACTAGAGACAGTATAGTAACATTTTAGGGGAGGCACCTGTTGGATGACATTTTTACAACGATTTTCATGAATTTTTTTAATGTATAAAGAATTTATATAATTTATTGATATCGTGAGGTCATTTTACAAATATATTCGATAATATATACTGATATTTTCAAAGATATTCCTCGAAAAGTAACAGAGATATCAATTCCCGCGCATTGTTGTTGACTGAGCAGTATGTATTACATACCACGTGGTCACTTAACCTATTATCCTGGGGAATTCCCTTTTTAAATACGTAGCTCTTTTTATTATTTATTTATTTTTTATGCTTAAAAAAAATTAAGAGATTATGAAATATATATTTTTTCGTTTATTTATATATAAAGTACAAAGGTTTGTACCTTTAACTTTCAAACAATACGTTTGACGTATTTACACGTCCCACCCGGTTAACAGATTAATTACTTATAACTTTTGAACGAATTAGAATTTTGACTTATAATTTTAGGAGCATATTTTTGAATAGTTTTACAAGCGATTTATAAAAAAAAAATGCAATAGAAAATTACATACATCTATGAGGAAAAGTGGAAGAGTGAAGTCTTTTTTAATAAATAATAAATTTACAGTTATATATATAAATAATAATTGTATGTATGTATGTATATATATATACAATTATTATTCATTTTTTATTTTATATTTTGGTTTATTTGATGAAAAAAAAATATTGGAACAATCTTTTTTTTATTTTTTATTGAATTACACTTAATATTATAATTATAATGATACAATATACTTTTTAAATGTAGCAATATACAAAATAACACATAACAATGAGCACATTTGAGAATGAACAAAATGAAAATATGCGAACAAATCTACAATTTATTTAATAAAACTAAACTCTATTGTATTGTCGGGATATAAAACAAAATAACTGAAGTAGAATCATGTATTCTATGATGTATGTCTAAAACATGGAATTATGTATTTCTCTAAAACATGTAATATTACTATTATGATAATGTTCATATTAAAAGCAATAAATTTTATCCAAAGAAAAAAAGCGTAAAAATGTGCAAAATGAACAATTATTATATTTTAAACTATTAATTAAAATAATATTTTGTTGATGGAAATGATTTTATTTATCTTTCTTAGCTGCTTTTAGTTTCTGAAGGTACGTTATATAGCAAGTACTTGAACATCGTGGATTTCTATTCAACATCTTATTTCTAAAAGTAACTGCAGTAGAAGAAACATTTTTTAATTGTTCTTTAGATTTTTTTAAATTAACAACATGAAATTTAGCAGTACTACCAGACTTTGAAACAGTCTTCCTTTCTTTTGAAATAGGGCTTATTCTAAATGCATTTTTCGGTACAGATGATTGTGATTTTTCAACTTGCTGCACAGATTTGTTTATTAATTTTCGCTTTTTAAAAGAATTTCCTGTACTACCAGACTTAGAAATAGCCATCCTTTTTTCTTTAGAAATAGGGCTTATTCTAAATGCATTTTTCGATATAGATACTTGTGATTTGTCAACTTGTTGCACAGATTTGTTTATTAATTTTGGCTTTTTAGAAGGATTGGCTAATATATCTGAAAGATTTTCTATAGCATCATTTGACAATCGTTTAATTCCTCGTCTAGTGTTCTTGTTTATTATTTGATCTTCTTTCTTTACTTTAACTTCTTTTTTCTGTCCTTGTACTCGTTTCGGTGACTGATCTTTTTGATTAATTTTTTTACTATCCTTTAAAGCTAAGTTAGCTTTTGTTTCTTCAAGTGCAAGTCTGACAGCTTTTATAATTTCATGCTTTTTAATAGTAAATTGTTTATTCGTTTGTTTTTCCATTGAATCTTCTGTATTTGAACTTACAATATTCTTTTGTAATGATTTTTTGGATTTTTTCTTTACTTGCATTGCTGGAAGAAGTTCTGATGATGCTACTACCTTCGTTTTCTTTTTATTAGGTATTTTTTCTACTTCGTCATTATTCTTTACGTCACTCATAAACGGCTTTTCATTACTCTTATCCTGATTTTTTAGATTTTTCTTAGATTTATTTTTTGTTTTATCTTTCTTGTTCTTACTTTCATTATTACTACATACAATGTCCATTTTTTCATTTTTATCTACATTTTTCTTTTTCATCGTAGTAGTAGTAGTAGTAGTAGTAGTAGTATCATCTGCTTTTTCCAATTCTGTCTTAGTATTTTCACCTTTTTTATTCTTCTTATTTGCCTTTGTTTTGTTCCTATCATCCATTTCAAGTTCATTTTGATTATTTTTGTCTGATTCAGTGGTACATTTATCCACTTTTTTACTCTTTTTCTTTGTTTTCATATCAGTTTGATTATCATCAATCATTTCTGCAGATCTTTTCCTCTTCCTTTTAGTCGATGCAGACAAGTCTGATTCTTGTTGCTCAATAACATCTGCACTAATAGTTTGATCATTTGTATCTTTTTCTACAGTATTTTGTTGATGTTCATTGTCATTGTCATTAGTTGTTTTAAAGGAGTTTTCCTTATTTCCTAAACTAGTAATACTTTCATGTAAGCTGCTGGTACATGGTGTTTCGTATGGTACTACTGGATCATCCAAATAGGTCTCAGATACTAACATTTCTGGAATTGGTGCAACGCTAACATATTCTATGACATCTGCTATAAGTTCATCACCTGTTTTATTACTTGGTATATGACGTTTCCATTTTTTCTTATTAGATTTTGAAGAATTGCTCATTGTTGATGTATTTATTTCAGAATTATTTGCAGTTGAATCTTCTGTTTGTTTTTTCTCTTGTTCCTCATTTGTTAAAACTTCATCATTACATGTTTTATCGTTTTCCTCTATAGAAATATTATGTTTTAATTTTGGCTTTGACGAGACATCAATTTTAGGCGTACTGCATGTTAATGAGATATTTGCTTCTTTATTCTTTTTTACTAATATTGTATCATTTTGTGTTTCTTGTGTAGCTTCTTCACTATTCTCTTTTAATGTTTCATTTTGTTTCTTTCCTGAACTACTAGAATTTAATTCCGATATAGTATCAGATACGATTTTATCTTTATCTAATTCTAAAAAGCTTACTTGTTTATTTACTTTTGACTTTGGCGTCTTGTTCTTTTCACTTTTCACATCAGAAGTATTCATTTTTTTATTTGAAGATGCTTTTTTATTAATTGATTTCTCCTCATCTGTTTTATTATCATCTTCTTCAATAGATATTGTAGTATTCTTGCTATCTATCTCTTTTTGCATACGTTCGATTAGCTTTGTATTTTCTTTTTCATTTTCTTTGTCTTCCTCCTGCTGTATAACTTTCATTTCAATTTCAACTTCTTCTTCTTCTTCATTATTATCATCATCATCATCATCATCATCATCATCATCATCATCATCATTTTCATCTTTCTTTTTATCTTTATCTTTAATTTCTTTACTTTCACCTTCATTTTCATCTTCATCTCCTTCTTCCTTCTCCTCTTCTTCTTTCTCTTCCCCTTCCTCTCCTTCTCCCTCTTCCTCCGCCTCTTCCTCTTCCTCTTCCTCTTCCTCAACTTCATCATCATCAACAACAAAATCTGCTAGATCTGAACCATTATCATCAGGATCTGAAAATTCAGATTCCGATGCTCTACATTCATCTCCCGGTATATCATCATCTGAGAATTTTTCAATAGTTTTACCATCAAGATTGTATTCGGCCCTAACATCAGAGTCTATACTTATATCTGAAAATTTACCTTCAGATGCATCATCACTATCGTTACTCTCTTGACTCTGTTCTTTATCATCAGATAAATTAGGACTTCTGGGAGTCTTTTTTCTATTATTCGAATCCATATTTTCATCGCAAGAGTCTGAAGAATCTGAACCAATGTGCACCATTGTAGAATAATTTGGATTAAATCTCTTTTTTTCACTGCCTAATTTTGATTGAGTAAGTTCATCATTTATATCGCATTCCGGAATGTCATTATTTTCTTCATCCTCGCTCGAAGAAACGTTTAATCTAATACGTTTTCTCAACTTCAATTTGGATTCTTTAGTTTTATTTATTGAACTATTTAAAGAACGATTTTTCTTTTGCTTTTTATCTAATGACGACCGTCTACGTTTACTTTGTGATTGATTTTCTTCCATTTCATTGGCATCATCAACCGTCCTACTTGTAGTTTCTACATTTTCAGATACTTTTTGTGTTAAAGATAATTCTTCATTACATTCTTTTTCTTTTTTGGAAGTGGATAAAAGTGAACTAGGTTCTTCTTCCAATTGATCGTCTAACGACATTGAAAGATCACTTTTGTTAACATTACTTGAAGACCTGCTTCTTCTTCGTTTTTCTTTCGATTTTTGTTTCTTCGACGTATTATGTGATGATACATTCATATCACTTTTATCAATAATCGATTTATTCATTGATTTATTTGCATTTTCTTCTACTTCATCCAATTCATCCTGTACTTTTTCTTTACTTAACTGCTTGGAACTGTTTTTAGATTCTTTTGTATTTTTTTTGATGGTCTCAGAATCACTATCATTGTCCTTAGATTTCAATTCTTTGTTATTCTTATTACTCAATTTATCATTTAGATAATCTATTTCAGTTTTTAATATAATCGTATCGTCAGAGTCATAATCAAATTGTTCTTTATTTTTGATGGCTTTTAATTTTTCTGCAGCTAACCATGCTTTTTTATCTACTAAAATGAGATCACAGTCTGTTTCACTATCAGTTTCCACTTTTATTGGTTTTGAATGTTCAGAAATATTTTCCGTTTCAGTATTAACATTCTTACTATTTTGTTTCCATTTATCAGCAGGAGTATCTTCGAACAATTTCTTTATAATTGAAATACTTTCATCACTATCTTCATTATTTTGTTCATCAACAACAGTCTCCTTCTTCTTCTTCTTCTTCTTCTCTGTTGATTTATTGGATTCAGTCAATAATTCTTTTTCCGACACCACTGGTGTATTTGATGATGATTTTATTTTAGATTTCTTTTTATCGGATAACTTTGCTTCTGGTGTTTTACGAGACTCTATAATAATAGAAGAATCATTTTTCTCAGAAATAGATTTGGAATGTTCAGAAGATCGTAATTTTAATGAACATTTAGATGAATTTGCATCATTGGAAGGATCTTTACTTGAATCATTGCTCAGTTCTAAAGCAATAGATGATCCAAAAGACGTATTATCTTGATTATCATTGGTAGAGCACTCAACATTTTCAGTAAAAGATGAATTTTTATTAGTAGATGGTACTTCAGCAGTTTCATCGCATTTTTTCTCATCATTCTTAACATTTGATACTTCAGTTGTATTAACGTCATTATTAGAATTATCCTTCTTTTCAGATGTATCTGTAAGAATCTCTTTTGAATTTACAGATACATTTGCTTTATCTTTAATTTCATCTTTGCTATTTGTCTCCTTTACATCACTTTTCTTCTCAATAATGTTTCCTGAATTGTCTTCATCTTCAATAATTGTTTTACTTTGACTGCTATTATCATCATCATTTATTTTAGACTTTTCCTTTGGTATGGAATCTTTTTCTTCTTCTTCATTTACTGACACTATATGTGATACGATATTCGACTCATCTTCTTTTTCATTCGATGAAATTTCTTCAGTATTTGATACGGATACACGTTTATTTTCTTTCTCTAAATTGTGAACTTTACTGTTACTTATTGCTATATTATTAGAATCCATTGAAGATTCTGTTAAAGAGAAATCAATTAATTTTATATTATCAATGCTTTCTACATTGACTTTTACATCTTCATCTTCTTTCATTGATGTATCTATTACAATGGTAGAAGTTTCTTTACGTATGCTTTTTGGACTAAATATACTTTTATTCTGTTCCGACATAGAACTATTCACATTAGAAAATTCATTTTCTTTATTACTGGTATTCAATCCTTTGTCTTTCTCTATAGAAACATTTAATGCATTATCATCTTTTGAAATATCTTTGACTAATACAACAGCAGAACATTCACTTTCTTTTGAGATACTCATTCTATCAGATAATGAGATTGCATCTTTTTTATTAGCTTCGCTGATTTCCGTACGATTACTTTGTGAAGAATCATCAACTAGTCCTTCATCTGGTATCAATGCAAATGTATATCATAAAAATCAAATGAATATAAGTTAAACATAGGAAACAATCCTTAAATTATATAAAAACAAATTCTTTTTTGTAAATCAATATACACAAGTATAAATAATACATATTCTTTTTTATAATTACACGGAGTACATCATTATAAAAACAAAAAGCTAAATAAAAATTTATATAGCGTATTACTATATTATCAATCTTACCAGAATTAGAATCCTTTTTTTCATTCATTTCATCCATTTCATCAATACTCTCAATTTTCTCATGATTTTTATTTTTAGGTGATTTCAGTTTTTTAGGTGATTTCAGTTTTTCAGGCGTTGTTTCATTGACTGTAGCTAATTCTGTAGATGCTATAATTATGAACGGAGAAAACAAAAAAAAAAAAAAAAAGAAAAAAAACATTATAATTGTAATAATTAGAAATCATACATAAATCTATATAGAAACAATAATAACACTAACTTTCATCAACTTCAATTAACATTTTCTCTAATTCAACTACAGGAATTTTATCTTCTTCTTCTATAACAGTTGATTGAGATGGTAATATCGATGCCCTTTTTTTTACTTTTATTGGTGTATCCATTTTTTCATTTCGAATTTCATCAACCGATTCTATAACTGTTGGTTCAGGACCCACAGAACTAGCTCGTGTTTTACGAGTTGATCTTAAAGGTGTAGATTTTGTTTCTGATCCAGCCCTTGTTAAACGTCTACAAGTCACGATGAAGGTATTATATTAAGGTATATATATATATATATATATATATATATATATATATATTCATACTTAGTTCGTGTATTAGTAGCCTTTGGTGTTTCAGAAGCAAGCACTGCTGCTAAACTTCTTCTTGTCATTATTTTTGGTTGTGTTTCTGCAGATTGTTCGGCATCTGTTTCCGTAGAATTTTTACTCGAACGCAAACGTTTTAGAACATCCATTGTCTTAGAGTCTACTGTGCCTGCACGAGTACGGAAAGTACGAGTACCCGGTGTAGTTTCAGGTGTTGGTTCATCCGAAGAAGAACTAACTTGTTTTGTAACTAATTTATTTCTAGTACTGCGACGAACTGGTGAATCCGTTACAACAGTTCCTAATCCTGAACGGATCTTTCGACCTAACGTTTAAACATTAACAAACAAACAAACAAAATGTCGTTTTACAACAAAAAAGAAAAAGAAACAAGAACAATCATTTATTCAAATAATAAAATAAGATACACTCAAATAATAATAATAATAATAATAATTTTTATAATTCAATTACTTTTTATAAAATAACAGATTCAATACTTAAGCCTTCTCGAAAGTTAACACATAAACCAATCACAAAAAGTAATATTAATTAAAAAATAACAAATTAATTATGTAAAATATGAAAGAAACATTTATATTGTCAACATTTTAACGTGAAACAATGCTAATATTACGAAGTACGCTTTGAATATAACTATAACGGATTTGTGTTGACAAAGTTAGAAGAAAGGTCGAACAAATTTTGACGGTTATATGAAGTTGATCGGGTCTATAGTTTTGCGCATGATAAAGAAAAAAAGATATATCATACGAACCAATTTTCGAACCAATACCATCCTCGGTATGTTTTACAGACCTTGGCATTGGAGATATATTATTTTAATAAAATATCACTAATAATTAAACGTTTAATGAACCAGTGATAAAATTTAAGAAAAAACAAGTAAACACATGTTATCAGTACATTAACCAATGGAAAATACGTTTCTGATGAATCGTATGTTATTTTATTGTCTAACTTAGAAAATGTCACTAACGACATCTTACTGTCACTTTTAATACCATTTGTAAATTTTCGATCAGAAAAAATGCGAAAATCAATAATTGTTCACGAACGTTTATGCCTACGAAATAATAATTTTTTTTACAAGTAGTTCATATATTTATCACATTTTAAAAAAAAGGACATAATTATTGCAGTTTTTTAAATATTTATAGAATTGTGAAACATTGTAACCTATATACCTATCAGCAATGTCTAATGCGTAGCTGACCAATGAGAAAGTGATTATCCAAAACTAATTGCTGATTGGTCGATTTTAAATATTTAGGTTAGAAATATACTAGAATAACACGAAATAATAAATACATCTTTCTATATTAATAAAATATGATAATATAATTAAATATAAAATATTATATATATGTATGTAATATATGTTTTATAATATGTATATAAAAGTCATAATTAGAATTTCTTTTGTTATTATAATATTACAAGTTATTGTTAAAATTCTAACGAAACAAATAATAATCAAATATTTGTCATTTTCTAGAAAAAAAAAAATTATAAATACTAACCTAAAAAACATAATATAATACTATAATGGTACAAGAGCGAAAAGGTTGAGATAAAGGTACAGGTAACAAAAATGTCGAACAAATTTTAACGGTTATATGCAATTGACACCCGGTCTATTGTTTTGTGCATGATAAAGGAAAAAAGATATATTATACGAACCACTCTTTATCTCCAGATCCTCTTCGGTATCTTTTACAGATCCTGGCATTGTATAATTATTATTTTAATAAAATTTTATTAATAATTAAACGTTTAGTGAAAAAGAGATAAAAAATTTCAGAAGATGCAAGAACACACGTGTTTTTAATAGTACGTTAACCAATTGAAAAAAACTTTTCTGATGTACCGCATGATATTTTGTCGACTAGCTTAAAAAAAAAACGCCACTAACGACACCTTGCTGATACTTTTAATACTATTTATAAATTTTCGATCAGAAAGAATACGAAAATCAATAATTGTTCACGAACGTTTATGCTTATGAAATAATATTTTCTTTACAAATAACTAATATATTTATAACATTTTAAAAAGAAAATATAATTATTACAATTTTTTTTTTTTAAATATGTATAGTTTTGTGAAACGTTGTAACTATATACCTATCAGAAATGCGTAATGTGTAGCTGACCAATGAGAAAGTGATTATACAAAACTGAATGCTGATTGGTTGATTTTAAATTGTTAGATAATAAATATAGAAAAACACGGAATAATAAATATATGTTTCTATATTTATAAAATATGGTAATTTAATTAAATATAAAATATTTTATATATTATGTATATATATGTAATATATGTTTTATAATATGTATATATTATATGTATATAAAAGTCAGAATCAGCATAACTTTTGTTATTATAATATTACTAGTGATTATTACAATTCTAACAAAACAAATGATAATCAAATATTTGTCATTTTCTAAAAAAAAAAAGTATGTAAATATTGAACTGAAATACATAATATGACACCTGTACTACCCAAGCCCGGCTAGCTCAGTCGGTAGAGCATGAGACTCTTAATCTCAGGGTCGTGGGTTCGAGCCCCACGTTGGGCGATTTTTTTTTCTTCAATAAATAATATTTTATATTTTTTTATTCTCACTTGAATAAAAAACATTACATTTTATTTTTGCACTTTTTCTACTATTTTTAAACATTTAAGTATACGTTAAAAAATATGATTTATTTTGTTTCATTCAATAATATTTATAATGATGATGTTTTATAATGTTTTTAACGAAATATTTGAAATAAAACAAAATTCACACACACACATTATTGTGCTTACTTTAAATAATTTTTACATTAAGTAATTTTGATAGTTAATAAATATTATCAAAATATATATCGTTTATCTAGATTCCTTTTTTTTTTTTATCTAGTGACCCATTTACAACGGAAGTATTATCGACCCGGATGACTATGGACCATACCCAAAACCCATGGATTTTATAGCTTGACCTATTTTCTTACGACTTATAGAAGGAAGGAAGAAATGTTAGAGGATCGATATATATACATAAGTATATTCAGCACTTTTTATTCGTACCAGATTAAATACTCTACCCTGAGTAATTCAATGATGAATAATAATATTGTAAGTATAATATAATTTCGTCATTAGTCATAATAATTTTAATTGAAGTAAATATATATAATAATAATAATAATATAATGAAAAATAAAATTTCCAATATATAAAATATTTTACGTTAACTTTAATTTCATCAAAATTATATAATACAATTATAAAATTATTATTTATCTAAACGCGTTATTCGGACAATCATACAAATTAATAAGGATCTCGTTTATCTACAATAAAAAGTGAGAGACAATTGTTTAAGAATATTGTGAGAGAATATGAAAGAGATAAAGTCTTATTCATTTCCTCTTCAAAGGTGAATAACATCAGAAATTATAAATACTCTCGCTTTTTTCTTTGTCTTGGAAGGTGCATTGACAGAGTAGTTGAAGTCTGCTTTGGGAAAACGATTCAACGCAAATTAACGTACCATTTTAGGTATAACAATCGATTAATAGTGTCTGAGATCGATCTGCTAACGCATTGTACTATGCATTTTAATGTAGTTATTATCTCAATAATGTTAAATTAAAAAAAAAAAGAAAAATCGTTATTGTTCATACCGGATTTAACGATTAGATTTCATCCTGTCGAAACCCATCCATGGGAATATAAGGTAGGTCAGTCAGGAAGCCTCTAAAAATACTAGGTTTCATGAGATAGCTATTTTAACGATACTTTGATAAATTATTTAGGTCATATACAAATGAAAAGAGGTCACCCATGATTTCGTAATAAAAAAAAAAAAACATACATTTATATTTTTCCTTTGATTTTAAATAGACTAACAAATCTTCATTAGTGTCATACCTGGTTGTCGTTGTACAACTGTGCTATTATGAAATGTATAAAATGATTTCTCTTTTCTTTTTAATTGAAAAAAAATGAATTATAATAAGAAATAGGGGTTGTTGTTGTTGAGGAGGAGGAGGAGGAGGTGTTAAAGAAGAAATGGTGTTATTGTTTATACGAGTAAAGAACGGAGAATGTTAGGCGTCTGCGCATCGGGACTCATGCTATGTATAGCCAATGATATGCTCGATGCCAGGGCACCGGTTCCTTCGTGCGAATTATATGTTCATTGTAGACCTAGTAATCGGCCAACGCAGACGTTGTACAAGTCTCCAAGTGCGAATATATTTTCATTAAATTAATGTAGCTTCCTCAATTGATATTTTTTTACAGAAGAAAACGAAATAAAGAACAACAAAAAAAAAAAAAGAAAACGAAAGGGGAACAAAATCGAATTGCGCGCAAACGTACGATATAAAAGGATACATGCAAAAAACAGAAAAAAATAAAATAAAAAAGTATCAAAAATTTTCATAACTGTAATTAAGATAATACTTGTCAAGTAATAAGCTGCACGTTAAAAGACAGTGCTTATTTAACGAGTGTTCATTGTGAATAAAAAAAATAAAAAAAAAGGATACGAAACTGTTCCATTTCTTTTGATTTTTTTTTTGTTTGTTTCTTTAAGTGAATGAAAATCATTATTTTTATTTCTTCGTTTTATCTTCTTTTAATTAGTGCATTTTCAGTGAAGTTTTTTATCATCAAGGAAAATACGATAAAAGGAATACATCAAAGGTATTCGTAAGCATAAATCTTAGAATCTTTTAACATACATTAAACATTAGTATTAAATCTTATTACGAAGTTTATACCGAGAAGTTATAAATTTCGGTAGACATTAAACGATGATTATCTACCAAAGTATGTACCACCAAAGTACACGGCACACAGTGGCAAGAATAAATATTTCATTTCTACGAGATAATCTTCATCTTAGTACCGGTTGTTAGCTACGGGAACGCCAATTGTTTAATCACTGATAATTATTTGCAATGAGGTTTGTTAATACTGTCAACTATGATTATTTGTTCGCGCCTATTTATTCTGACATTGGGGTATTATTATTATTTCGTAACGCAACTTGTAAATCGTTACTTCCTTAATCATTATTATAATAATTCATATTTATTATTACGACATCTTATTGTCTTGTAAATAATTTACATGATTTCGAATTGGAATAAGGAGATAAAATAGATTTTTCTCTCTCTTAATGTTTGCTAAATTTCTTTCATTTTTTTTTTCTGTCATTGTTTCAATCAATGTTCCCATGAAAAATTAATCCGTTTCAATTCGCTTATCAAATCAAAAAAACATTTCGTTAGTATTTCATTAATAAAATCAATGAATTGTCTCATTGACAATTTATTTGATTATACAATAATATATAATAATATCTTTTGTCTAATCGTAACACGTTTAATATCTAAATAAAATTAATAATAAATAAAAACTATTAGAATTATTATTTCGCAATAATTGAACTTCTGTTACACGTAAAACGAATAACTCTAATAAAGTATTCAAAACAATGAGAATGCAAATTAATTAATCGATCATGATTCAACAAAAATTAACAAAACGTTATCTCATTTCAATATTTGTTTTCCTACATTTAAATAATATTAATTAATTGAAATGATTAATAATTAAATAATAAATTTAATAAATTTAATTTAATTAATTAATAAACTTAAAATAAAAATAATATTCAAATGCAAATTTTAAATTACGTTATCCAATAATTATTATTGTATTCCAATTTTTTTTATTTTATTCCAATAATTCTTATTTATTTTTAATTTTACAATTATTGTGTGTTATTCCAATAAAAAAAAATTTTTATATTAGTAATAACTAATATTTATAATTTTATTTCTTGAAATATCGACAGTATTATAAGTGTACAAACTTTCACACAAAAATCTCATTTTAGTCTAACAAAATTTAGTGAAAATGATAATCTTATTAATAACATTTTATTAGGTTTCCGTCTGATCATTTCAAACCCAAACTACTGCGAATCGATCGATAACCTCTCCAAACATATTACTACGATATCGTAGATAAAAGTTTCCCTAAAAAATCAAATCAGAGACAGGTGTATGATATCTCTCAATCAGGTATGGACCTACCATGTTATTCAAATTATAAGATTTGATTTATATTTATTTATTACCCTCATATGTAATTCATATTCCTTGCATTCAACTCACATTTAGATTTATTCTTAAGTCAAAAATGAGATCGCCTGATTATTCCTATTTTATCTATCTATTATCTATTATTGATACATTATTAAAAATATATATATTGCAATATTTAAGGATAGATATTATTTGTAGTATCACAAAATCGTTATTTTCATTCGCAACGTCAAGCTGGATTTTGCGCAAAGAGAACGACCACACACACACACACTCACACACTCACACATACATACATAAACACACCAGTTGAGTCAGTCCTCTGTTCCTCCCTCCTCTGAGAGGGAGTACTTTAGCAGAGAATGTAGATAGGTATCTTTATATATGTATGTGTGAGTGTCAAACTGTAGACTGAGGTAGAAAGTATTGATCACTCTTGTACTTGTCCTACGTTGGTCACATCAAAAGTTACTTTTTTTTCTCTCTCTCTATTCAAAGATGAATCATTAGAAAAGTCACACATAAAAATTCGTTGATTAATAATATCAATGTTATCTATTTTATGAGACTTCTTCATTAACCTCCCCTTCCCCCTCCCCCTCAAAGAAATTCTTCTAATCGTTTCAATCGTTTTTTTAACCGTCATCAATGCGATGAATAATTAACCGAAGATGAAAACAAAAAATATTTAGGTAGTTTCGAGTTTGCACCTGAAATAGCATTAAACGTGTTAACTCGGTGTATAATATACGATCGTAAACTCATATGTGTTTCTCATTTTACTGTATTACGTACGATTCCTTGTATTGTACAATGCGTGAATCAGACAGAGAATCGAGAAATTGTTACTAATCGTACGGTACAATTCTACGCTCGAAGAAACAATTAATATTGAAAATTAATCCGTCTAGACTTGGATCTTTAATTCGAAGTGACGTATCGATAAACCGTTATCTATGTTTTTAGATATTAGACACGTATGTAATATATATATATATATATGAATATGCATATGTTTGTAAATAATGAGAAAAGACATGTATTTATTTCTTTTCTTAAGAAACAAGATTGTATTTTCCTTATCATTCATTTTCTACTTTCTCTTCTTCTTATTATTTTTTTTTATTCTCTCCCTCATCCTTTTTTTGTTCTAAAATCATCATCAAGTTAGCCCAAAAGATGATATCATTGAATAAAAAAAAAAATTATATTATCTTATTCTTACTTTTGTACTCTGTGCGATTTTTAATGGTATCAAATGAACACACACGTGCATGTCGTGTAAGCACGAATTAATCCTCATAAATTTGTATATACTTAATTTAACTATTATGTATGCAGATTATGTATATATATATATATATTATACATACTTAAACATTTAAATATATATATATATATATACGACAAAGTATTATATGCAAATACAATATGTTATTACATACCTTGATCTAATCTTTAAATTTATATATCTATTTATTATCTATAAAGTTTGTTGCTTAGATTACAAACAAATTATCATTTCGATGTTTTAAATTATGGAATTTAAAGTTATATTTTTAAATATACAAAAAGATAAATAATTTGTATTAGTTTGTTTGAATTTTGTGAATGAATATCGTTGGGAAAATTTTTGCATTTAATCATCCTTTTTCAATATAACGTTAAATACAGATAGATTAGTATGATTCATCTGAATCTATGGAAATTTGAACAATTCTCTGTGTTTAGTTCTTTTCCATGATTATCTTTCTTTTCATCTCTCTCTCTATCTCTTTCTCTCTCTCTCTTTCTCTTTCGTTAATTTCCTCTTTTTTTTTCGTACCTATTAGATTTCTAATTTATACAATATGTCTCATCTTTCGACCGCGAAGTTGTCCACAAAAAATAGAAAGGGGAAAAAAGAAAAAGAAGATAAAGACATATAATCGATTAATCGGCAAGTTTTTATTTCATTGTGTGTTGTACGTTGCGGTCACGTGGCTTCCTGCAAGCCGGATGCTGGCGGTTGCATTTAAAACGACAAAAGTGGCACGGTCCTACTCGATGTTAGTTCATTTCGTGTTTAACCATCGTCCGAACTAAAACGCCAAATGTTCCTATAATTAATTCAAAGTTTTTACTATTTTCAATGATATTTTACGTTTTATTCTCGTGTGAACAAAATTAATTATTATAGTAATACATTCATGGAATCACATCACGCATTTATCCAAGATGCACGTTTGTTTATTGGATTTGTTGGATTTTTCAAAATGACTGGTAAGATTTCGTTACTTTTGTATTTTTGATAAATTATTGTTATTTGTTTTCATTAATGAACTTTCTTTTTATCACAACGGTAACAATTTGTATATAAAATTGTTTATGGTGTTTTTATTATGTACCCCAGTTTAGATACACATGCCAACGTTTGTAAATTCGGTATTTTCAATAGGTGTTTGTTTGAATATAAATAAATTATTAAAATGTATATTATTATAGTTAAATAATTTAATTAAAAAATATATATATATATTTAAATATAAATTATATTATTTTAATTTAATATTAAACGATTACAGACAAGAGTTTAAAATATTACAAATTGTTACTAATTAAATAATACAAATTTCGTGAGAAACTATTTAAGGAAATCGTTAATGAAGCACAAATGAATTGAATTGAATTGAAATGAAATGAAATGAAATCGAGCCAAGTATTACGATGCAATTAAACGAGAGAACCACGAAGAAAACCATCATTATCTCCTCAACTAGAAGCTTTATTATGCAAGATAGGTGTGCGCCTTACAATCGGTACAGCTGTCATAAATGTGTGCGGACCAGAATGCGATCCAATATTGATCGCTGTACTGACTCATAAAATTCCTTGAAACAGATCTCGTTGATGGAATAAGAAATAGAATGAAAGAGGGAACTTCGATTTCTATGTGATACAATAGAATAATTTTGATCTTAAGAGTTTTTAAGGACGTTTTATAGTAATTAATAAGAAATTCATTCTTACATACGTGTCTTTACAAAAGTTTATCTTTTTTTTTTTTTTCAAATTAATTACTAATTTGTACCGTTTTATTTAAATTATGAATATATTTTCTAAACGTTCGAAGGATAATTTAAAATAAATTTATTCACGTTCGTTATACGATCATTAATATCAAATAACTTGACTATATATATATATATATCATTTTTTTTCCTTCTTCTTTTTTCTTCTCTCTTTTTTTTTTTTTTAAGGATAAATGTCTCGGAAATTTACGACGATTATATAGTAAATTACTCAAATTGATTAAAATCGTTTCCCATACAATTTTCTTATTTTACCTAGAGATTCTATTTTATTTTATATATAATATATTTTTTCAAGATAAATATCTTCCGGTAATATTTCTTTTCCTTTTTTTTCTTTTTTTATCATGTTCATATGCGTGCAAGGTAAATCCTAGATCGTAATCGTGATATTTTACTCTGATTCGTTTACTTTCGTAATAATATTCTTTAGAAAAAAAAAAAAACAAAACAAAACAAATAAGACCTTAACCAAGAGTAAATTAGTAAACATCAAGGTTTTTTTCCATAAGATCATCATCATTTTTCCATCATTGACTAATTTTCGCACGTTATTAACCATTGTCACTTCCCAACTCGACACGCGTGCCGATTTAATTATCGCATTGGTCATTGTTTCGTTAAACGGTTTTTTTTTTTTTCATTCCATTTGATTCGTGTTGAGGGTGCTAACAATCGATCTTATTGTTTTCCAAAGGTAGAACTTACTCTTCTTCCGGTAAATTAGTAATACTTATTCGAACTTGACATTTATCTCACTATTTTTTTTTTGTTCTTCTATAGAGGAGGGGGCGGGTAGAGCGAGGGGCGGGGAGGTTAAATATATAAAATAAAAATAATATTACGAATCTTGTGATCTTACGAAATTCGTTATATGCGATACAATTTCCAGTCATTTTTCTTTTTTTTTTCACTTGGTCATTCATTGTGTTCTTTCTTATGTGTTTCCTTTTTTCTTTATCTTTTTTTTTCTTTCTCTCTTTCTCACCTCATTTCTTTATTACCATGAGACCTATCAACGCATTCAACGAACGTATGATATCGAGACTAGTAGAGCTCGACGAATGAAATGCAGAAAAACGCAAAATCGAAACACAATATGCAAGAAACTTGAATATACATTTGTGCATACAACATATATATATATATATATAATTAGCCTTTACCAATCGTTCAAATTTTTTTGTCAAGAAATATTTTTTTATTTATTTACGTGAGCGTGCAATTGATAAAGAACTTACCAATATGATTGTTTAATGAAATATACTTTCACTGTGACATTCATCCAAACAATTTTGATACAAAAAATAACTAATAAAAGAAAAGAAAATGAATAATTTTATATATATATATATATATATATATATATATGTGTCAATAATTAAAATCAACCATAAACGAACGTTTTTTATTGATTGCAACAATGCGGGTACTTTTTAACTGTCCATTCGATCAATTCATTTCAATTCAATTAATCGAAAGAACCCCTTTCCTCTTTCTTCCCTTTTCTAAAATTACATCATCAAATTTTATCGCATTTGTTAACAGAAAAAGCATAAATTTTTTTTTTTTTTTTTGCAAAAGTTATTTAACGAGAAATTATAAAATTGACGATAAACGTTTCCACGAAATATATCTATATATAATTAAACAGTATATTTATTTACGAAACGAGTAACGTTATCCTTCGTCTTATCATTTTTAAGCAAATATGAATTTTTGCACCTGTCGACATATTGATATTACCCTTTTTATATATTTTTTCTTTTTTTTTTTCCTTTATGATACGACGAAACCGGTACGAGTTAATTCTAGGAACATTTTTTTATTTACTTATTTATTTGTGTATTTTTTTATTTATGCATTTTTATGTATTCGATAATATAATTGACCCATGTAAAGTGTCACTTAATTAGTGAACGAAATGCAACAACAAACGATGATCATACGGGCACCATGGTACATTGAATTAATTCAACAATGTAACACTTGAGACGTGATTATTTATTTTTTTTTTAAATTTGATTTTTAAATTACTTTTACTTTCATCAGTGATACTTGATACTACATTGATACTTATATCATATTAATCAAAAGAAAATAAAAATTATTCACGATTAGGCCACAGCTTTTTTATTATAATTTCAAACAAAAGCATTATAATATAACGAGAGTAAAATTATTCTAAGCCTATTTAAACCCAAAGCCTATAGTTTCATTTTTATTTATTTTTTTTTTTTTTATCTGCACATGTCAAGGATAATATTCCTTCTTCGTGATTATAATTATTATTTTCTTTTCATATTTTTGTTTTGTTTTTGTTTTGTTTTATTCACGATAAAGTATACAAACTGTAAGAATCTTCCACTATTGTTATGTCATTCGTAAACATATTAAACTGCTTGATAAAATAATTAATTCGTGTAAAAGAAACATAAAAAAAAAAAAAAAGAAAGAAAGAACAAAAATTGTTGTACGTAAAATACGTGCACGTAGTAGATTTATGTCATACAGTAGTTACTCTTTCGTTAAGTTTTATTTTATTATTATAGATTTTTCTTTTTCAATTTTTAATTTTTTTTCTTTTGAGAAATCTATCGTAGCAAAAAAAAAAAACAAAAAAAGAAAAGAAAAACAATGTAGGCATACCATGTACATATTTCATATTATAACCTTTATGCTTGTGCCTTTACATTCTATGAATTCACACGATAGTTTTTGTTACTCGATGCACTTGAGTGCATAACGATAACCGGACTTAATATAGGTATCGGCAGATAGCATACATTGCCACCTCTATTCCGAGGTTACATTAGTTCTTGTATTCGTCTATCTATGGAATTTAGACCTCCATAGTAAAACCATTATATGTATAAGACGATAGTATTGTTATTACAACGATAGAAACTAAAGAAAGAATCAAATAAATGTCTTTTGTTTGTTATTTTTTTTTTTCAAAATAATATTCGATGTTAATTTAACTTGTTAAACACGTTGAATTCTTAGGGAAATTCCCGTCAGGCCACAGGTGTTACTTTGTATTGAAAAAATAGTTGAATGTGTCAGTCACCTGTGACGGACACGGCCTAAACAGAAAGTTTCGCGTCAGTCACCGATGACTGACGTGGCGCTCAACCTGTTAACCTGGAAATTCTCTGTTTAATGGCGTAGCTTTTTTGTTATTATTTATTTATCATTTTTTATATATTTATTTATTTATTATTATTTATGCTTAAAATAAATGAAAAGACTATGAAATATATGTTTTTTTGTTTATTTATTTATATAGTACAAAGTGCACTGTTGTAAAAAGTAAACAGGTAAATAAACGAATTCATGAATAATTCATGAATGATTCATGAATGATTCATGAATGATTCGAAATAATTAAATTTGAAAGAATTTGTACGATTTAAAGTGCACATTTGTGGATCAATTATTTACAGTATTTTTCAATATATCTATTATCTTAGATAAAAAATGGATGCATTTCACGAATAACTAATGTGGGTGTGTCCATCCAATACACAAAGGAATGAATTTCAATTGAATTAAAAAGACAGTGTGCGAGAACTCGTTTCAATTTAATTATTAGTACAATGTCGTCCCACATTTATTTTAACGAATGAATCTTTTTTTTTTTTTTTTTAATTTTATTTTTCACACGTGTCTCACGTATTTTTGAATCGTTGCAAAAAAACAAATTTTATATAAATAAATTAATATGAATTAAATATATTTAATAATTACTATATTATGTATATATATATATATAATAATATAATATAAATTTATAAATTTAATATTAACTAAATCTATTCTTAAATTTTAATATATATTTTCTCATCTATATTTTAATTCTCTAATATATCTTCCATTATTTATACTATAAAAATTTGTTTAAAAATATTTAACGTTACAAATCATGCATATTCCTTAATATATATATATATATATCAAATTACTTAAAGAGATCGTAATGTAACGTAAATTCGAGTCTGGATACTTTCTTCAGTTGAACTAATATTAGCATGATCTTCAAAGTCAACGATCTCCTTTTTAAAAAAAAAAAAAAAAATAAAAAATAAAAATCAAAACAAATAGAAAAAAAAAAGAATTAGAAGCTTGGCAGAGTTGGTCTGTACTCGAAAGTTTCGTTTGATTTTCATCGAATAAACCTATTTTTGGCAAGTGAACACATAGCAACCTTGAAACGAGAAAAGCTCGTCAAAAACAAAAATAGAAATTCATCGTTGACTCCTAGGCGTTCTCTTTTACATATACATACATATGTATATATATATATATTACACATTACAATTTCATTCTATTAAACACATCTGAGACAATCGTTTCATTCAAAAGACACTCGAGTGTCTGAGAGTTATTCGATAATTATCATTTTGATGAGTCAAGTTCGATAATGTAATGTTCGTAACTGTTATGTATATAAACAATCATCGTTACGTTACAAAAGTTCATGTTTACATTTCGAAATAATATTTAAGATGAAAGCTGATATGAATGGTCAGTCGAGTTCGAAATCTCTTACGGTAACTACTTTTCTAAATTTTTCAATATACTTCTCGTATAATTAATATTACAAAAATTCATGTTTTTTTTTTCTTCTTTTATGTTTAATATTAATTAAAAAAGAGTTTCGAATAAAAATTAGAATATATTTATAAAAAAAAAAAAAAAATAAATAAAAATACGATAATACATAGAAAAAAATCAATTATTTTCGTGTCATAGACAACTTAATGTATATATATATATATATATGTATATATGTATGTATAACACAAAAATTTGTTATCTTTTATCGTTATTGAAAAAATGAAAGAGCAATCGTTGCTGTGTACTATCTATTGCGAATATCTGCCAAACCCATGTGTATATTAGATAATATCTCGTTTAATGGGAAATATTTGAACGTTTTACGGTAAGATTTAAAAAAAAAAAAAAAAAACGGAAACAAGAATTATCATTGATAAAAAATTGTTGAAATATAATTTCAAAAAAAAGTTCAACTAGAAAGTATCCCTCGTTACAATTTAGTAGTATACTTTACGATCTCTCATTGACAAGTTTAAAAAAAAAAGTATCTCATCATCTAATTTTTCGATTTCTATATTTTATTTTAAATTTAAATAAAATAATGAATTTTTTATATTCTAGTTGATGATTCGAGATGCATCGGATATATGGAGACTGAGAAAACGTGGGAAAATATTGTAGACGTTCGTATACGAAATAGGATCTCATTCAAGGGCACCACGATACATTTTTCTTCGAAAAATATGTCTGAAGTTCATCCACTTGTCTGTTCATCCACTGTCAAATCAGACGAAACGATGTCTGGCATCGATCCTCGTAACATCGTTAATCTCGAGGTATGTTTATTTTATTTTATTTTTTTTTTTTTTAATGTTTATATTAATTTATTTACATTAGGTATAAAGTAACATAAAAGATATTCATCGTTCATTAGATTTAATTAATCTCAAAATTTAAACCACGAGTAAAGAGTATTTATTAAAAAATGAAATAAAAGTGTTTATATTTTTTGATTTTTAATTTAAAACTTACATTTTTTATTCTATTGTTTAATTCGTTATATATTGATCAATAAAAAAAAAAAAAAAAANAAAAAAAAAAAAAAAATAAAAAAAAAATAATTGAAAAGAAAACCATCCACTGGCCAAATATGCAATTATTAGATTAATTATATTATTTACTTTTTACGTATTTACGATTGAACAAACAATTGTAAAAAGATAGTAGCAGATGGTGAATAAACGTTTGTGTAACATTTCTTTGATGTACCGTAAATGCAGGTGGGGTTACCCGGGGACACCTGGTGGTATCGTGTAGAGAGGGAACGATTGGCCAAAAAATCTGAATGGTTTCGTGCAATGCTTATGGGACCCTTAGCACCAGAACGAACAGATCCTCCCCCACTTGTAACCATAAAACATATTGAAAAACGAGCCTTCGATCATTTTCTCAGGTATTTCATTCATATCTATTTCTTTTTAAACATTCACACACTATTATCCTATAAAGATTAATTCAAACGTAAAAAAAAGAAACTTCAATATTCATTGTTTTCTTTTAAAACTACAATCTTTTTCTCTATTCTTTTAATTATTTTATTATAAATAATTTATCTTTTAATTTAATTATAATCATTAATTTTTTTAATAATTTAATAAATTAATTTAATTTAATTTAATTCCTATAATAATTTATCTTTTATTTATTATCTTATTAATATTTTTATCATTTGTATCATTCGATTCTAGAAAAAAATGTAATAATAAATATCAAAATAAACATTGAAATCTATATAAAGATATAAATAATATACAATGAGACATTTAAATTCGTAATACAAACATCTGTTTATTTACTTGTTAATAGATATCTCAACGACGAACCTATTATCTTTCAATCAGTATCAACTGCCAGAGCCACGCTTGACGTAGCACATCAATATCTCTGTTCAGATCTCGCACGTTTAGCTATTAATTATCTCGAAGAGAATTTAAATTCCTCAAACGTTCTCGAAGTTTATGAAAATCTTTATCTATATGCAAATCCACTTTCATTTTCTACAATTGAAGATAAGAATAACGAATCATCTAATAAACCTTCTGCTCCACCCGCGCCCAATGACGAAGCTGGTGAAATAGGTGAATATATAATTTCAATAAAATTTGTTTAATAATTAATAATATCTCTTAATTATTCAATTTCTTTTCTTTTTTTTTTTTTTTATAATTATAGCTGCAGCTTGTACGGTACTTCTTTCACGATGTTTGGACATAATCGATGCTAATCCTTCAACTATACTTACTCAAGAACGTTTCGAAGAATTGAATGCCAAAGAAATTGAACAAATTGCGTGTCGTGATACATTGAGATTACCTAACGAAGTGATTCTATTTTCTGCACTAAATAAATGGGCTGCATCGAATTGTAGAAAACGTGGTGTCGAACCTACTTCTTCAAATAAAAGGGCTGCCCTATCTGACGAAGTGTGGTATTCCGTAAGATATTTACTTATGACCGATAAGGAATTTATTGACGGTCCCATGGCTAATGGTATTTTATCTAGCGAAGAGTCAGCTTTTATTTTTGCCAAAATTCTTGGACACCCTAGTAAAGGAGAGGTACATTTTATTATTCGATATTTTCATAATCTTTCATTTTTTAAACTTGTAATTTTTAATAATTTAAAAAATATAATATATAAGGTTTCTCTTTTTTAATTTTTCATACAAGGGTAGCTTGCGATTTTACGTGAAAGAAACTAAATCGAAAATGTAGAATTAAATTTGTTCATGTAATATTTCTTGCATGATACAAAAACAAAAAGAAAGAATAGTTAATAGTTACAATAATTATATTAATATAAATTATAGGCAAATATTTCAAGAAGCAGCCCTCTTTGGAGGTTAACCAACAAACCAAGAAGTGGAACAATAACGTGCCATAAACAAGATTGTAGCATGTTAAAATCAGGTAAGAAGGAACGTCAGGATAATAGAAAAAATCGACGAAAAGAGTGTGCTAGTCAAGCGTGTTCCAGAATTTGTACCTGTTTCGTACGTGTTTTAGCATGTGTATTCGAGTAAATAGTAAAAATTGAAAATAAGCTTCCACGCTTTATTACTACAACTTTCATCAGAAGAACAAAAAACAAACCAAATAAAAAAGAACAATATTCAATTGCACTTTTGCTAATTTTCAAATATATTGATAAGTTATATGTATATATATATAAGATTTCTAAGAAATCATAGCAATCGAAAACAACGAAAAACGAAATATTTAGATCTCATTAAATGAATTTTTGATTTTCGATATTCCTTACAGTGCCATCGAATATTATAAAGAAAAGAAAACAAAAAAATAGATTTTATGTATTTGTGTGACAAGATTTTTTATGACTTTCGTTAACACCAATCGTATTATTCGATAACTATATTTAATTATTTAACGAAAGTTAGTCAGACAATTGAAAATAGAATTTATCATACGTGCACACTATGCTGTCTCATTGTCAATTGCCGGAAAGTTAATAAATATACACACAAGATCTATGCATTTAGAATTATATCTCGAGAGCATTAAAACAAAACAAAAAAAAAAAAGAACCGAAAAATGAATATTTTTATAAACTATCTTACAATTAGATCGATCGATTGATGATCGATAATGATGATGATCGATAATGATGATGATGATGATTATTATTATTCTTTTGGTGGTTTATAAAAAATTAGCGTAATAACGAAAAATGTTCCTTATTGTCTCTTATTGTTTTATATTTATTTCTCATAAGTGCTAATTATAAAAAGTAAAATAAATAAATAAATAAATAAAATAAGAATTAATCAATTAAATTATTCTTATAAATTGTGCTATATTATATTTTAAGCTAGTCTGACTTTGATTGTGTTCATTATTTACTTTTTGTAACTTTAACTCAGCGAATTTTTTTTTTTACATATTAAGTATATCGAAGTATAAAACAAAGAAAATAATTGATTTAAACAAATATACGCGTACGTTGTTACTAGCAAATATGATCTGTATAAGCATAGATTTATGTATAATATATCGTACATTCGTATGATTTCTAAGAAATGTAAAATTGTGCGAATTTATAACGCTTCTAAGTGCAATTATTTTTAATTTACTATAAATAAATATATGTATATATATATATATATATATATATATATATATATATAT